TATTCATTTCTGGATCAGGATGAGTGGGGTCCAGAGAGATTTAATAATGCTGCAAAGCAGAGCGAGGCCGCTAGAGGGAGTGCAGAGCCAGGAAACTAGTGTAGACAGGGGCTTGCTCAACAGGAGGGAAGACCAGGTTTAGTGGTGAACACTGCAAGTATTCTTAGGTAAGTTTAAAACGAACAATTATTTGGCGGTTGAGAGGAGGTATTGTCTATGCCCTGAGGGGACATGTTGGGAATCTGTCGTCCATGTAGTTACTGAGAAGACGAAACACACACGAATGGGAATTCGTGCAGGAAAGAAATAGATCTAGTCACATCTGAGTTAAATCGGGACTATTGGGAGTAGTACCTTAAATGTCTAAATATCACAAGATGACAGAAATGTCTTCAGTGCCTCACTTTGGGAGAAGAGACAACAGGCATGTATCCTGTCCCCCACATCTAATGGGAAACATAATGCCCAAGTTAACCCCTCCGTGGGAGATGTCGCCAAAAGAACGCCCACCCCTAGAGAAAAATTTTATCAGCTTGTATGAGCCCAAATCTTGAGGGTAGCAAGATCTCAGCGGATTGAGAAAATGATCCGGAGAATGACAGTTAAGGTTTTCTCTGTTCTCTCAGATAACGCTAAGTTTTTGCCATGTTTCTGGCGTTAGTAATTGGAGTCTGGCTGAGCTCAAGCTCCCCGCGTGTCAGGAGACTGACATCGAGAGGCCTTGACATTGTCTTCCGTTCCAGCGGCGGTCTGTCCTGGCTAAGCAAGCCAAATTTCAGTCCCTGCACTGCCCGGAGCTGCCTAGCTGCCGACCCGAGGGCCGCTCACAAGGAGCGCAGGGGAGACGGGCTCATCTCTGAGAACCTCCGTGGACCAGGCGCACCGGGGGTGGCTGTGGCTGAGTGCGGGTCCTCCACAACGCCCTTCTCTTGCCCCTTAAATCCTTATCAAGATTTCGTAGCCCCCTTCATCCCCGCCCCGCTGTCCCCAGACCCTTACAAAAAACCATGCACCAGGTTCTGGGCACACAGTTGAGAATATGTTTGTGTTTGTAAGTTTTGCTTGTATGAAGCTGGGGCCACAGTATTCTGTGTGTCCCGGTTACCCCGACTTTGATAAAGAGGGACCCATGAGGGACTTAGGTATGGGTTAAGTTGACTTTGGAGGGGCTGGTGGAACTGCTCACCTTTTAGAAGGGAAAGAACAGGATACAGCCAGTCCCTTACCTCCAGGCATTTCCCCTGTCCCCAGGGAACACACCCCACGTTTTACTGGATCTCCACCCTCTTCATCCTCAGGAGCTTTGAGGACTCACCACAATTCCTCTACTGTCCCACCTCAGAGGTCTAGAGATGTGCTCCCCCAGGCCAGGGAGAGGATGGAGACGCAGGTACCTAACCCCTACCCACACTTGGGAAGCTGAAGTTATGTATATAGAGTGTGTACCTTCCCTTTCCCTTCCCGTCCAGACCTTATTCTACCAAACAGCTGGATCAACAGAAAGAATGATCTCTCAGCACATCCCAAGGGGGTCACTGTGTTTTGTTTGGTTTTTGTTTTTTCAGGTGGGGAGGCCCAGTAGAGCCCTGGCAGCCAGTTGAGGGAAATAGAAAACTGACCTTATGGGAATGGATATTCTTTAGGAAGAGGTATGTACAGGCAAATGAACATACCTAGATTTTTTGGGGAGTGAAACCTCCTGGCTAAGAATGAGTTGAATAACAAATTGGGAAGGGAAGAATTAAAAAATTTATTTTTTCAATTACAGTTGACATACAACATTGTATTAGTTTTAGGTGTATAACATAGCGATTAGACATTCATATAACTTACAAAGTGATCATTCAAATAAGCCTGGTGCCCATCTCATACTATTCATAGTTATTACAGTATTATTGACCACAGTGCTTATGCTGTAATTTACATCTCCAGGGAAGGAAAGAATTTTGGATTTTTACTTGCTTGCATTTTAATTAAAAAAAAAGTATATTTAAATATTGCTCTTTGTTACTTTTGAAATTAGGAGGGGGTTTATGTTCAAATTTAGGGATTTTTTTTGGTAGCTAGTGTTGAATTATCTGATAGTTTATGCTGCCAGGTGGTTCTTATTTTGTATCCTGCGTGAGCTGAGCTGAGCTGATTAGAGAGAGGTAACAGCATTTAGGACACAGTATAACCTTGAGGTTAATTTGCATCCTATTTGTACCCAGTTCAGAGGCCTGGAGGGGGCAGCAGCAGTAAATTGCACCCCCCCCCCCCCACAAATCCCAGGAGAATATATGAAGAATAGTGGTGAGGACCTATTATGTCATTTTCTATACCTGAAAATAGGGATTACAATTATTTTGTCTTTTGTAAGGATTAAATGAGTAAATATGTGTAATGCATTTGGAAACTTATTTCCACATTTCCTATTTGGAAATATATTTTTTTATTTGCTCCTGCCACATAGTAGGAGCTATAAAAATCAATGGACCATATGATATGGCCACTTTTGTAGTTCACAAATGACCAAATATCTGGACAGTTGGAGACATCTCTAATGCATTGCTGGTCTCCTCTCAGTCATCCCTCCAGCTGCACCTGTGGTTCATCACAGACCAGAAGACAGCTCTTTAAATCCAAAGGGTTGACCAAAGAGAAGACTTCTCTGTGTTGGGGGCTCTTCCTCTTACATGTTCCTTCCCCACAAGAGGTTGAAGGGAATACTTTTCAGCTTACCTTTTCATTCCTTGCTTACTCTACTCTGGGGGAGGAGTAGATAATCTTATAGGCAATAGCCTGACTGTGGCTTCTCCAGCCCTGTTTTTGTTGAGTCTGTGAATCAGGCATGGTGGGAGTGGGGAACAGGGCAGGAGTAGAAGGCCCTGCCTTTGGGTTTATAGCACATCTGACCAGCCACTGGTTAGGTGGATATTCTGTTTTGATCTCTACCGGGTAACTAGTCTCATAACATTGTATTGGTCTGGAATGAATCATTTTTTGGCGGGTTAGAAGGATGAAAATTGAAAATTTCTTAATCTAATCTCAGGAAACTTCCTCTACAATTTCTTCCTCAACTCCATAATCTTCCAACCCATCTGCACCCATCATGTGACAAGAATTTTTGCCTTGCTTCAAGCTATAGCTTGGGAAAGACCCATAAAAGAACTCTCCAAGTAGGTTAGTGAGTATACTTGTATTGGAGGAGAAGGTGGGTAAATTAAGGAAAGTGGGCAGTTGGCAACTTTTTATACCAGGAGGAAGCAAAGGAACAAAGAAGTTATTTTATCTGTTTCCAGCTCTGAACACACTTCCAGATTGCGTTGCCAGTAGGCCAGTCACTGTTGATCTTCTGAGCACATATTTTTTTATTTTTATTTTTTAATCCTCACTCGAGGATATGCTTGGGCGGGGGGGGGGGGGGAGAGAAAGATAACATTAATTGCTTGGGCGGGGGGGGGGGGGGAGAGAGAGAGAGAAAGATAACATTAATTGGTTGCCTTCTGTACATGCCCTGACCAAGAATGGGACCCACAACGCAGGTACGTGCCCTGATGGGGAGTCGAACTGGCATCCTATTTGTGGGGCCTTTCAGTGCACAGGACAACAGCCACCCAACTGAGCCGCACCAGGCAGGGCTAAATTTTTCTCTTGTTATAAGGAATGTAGTCATATTGGGTTAGGGGCTCACCCTACTCTAGCATGGCCTGAACTAATTATATCTGCAATAACCCAGTTTCTCAGTAAGGTCACATTCTTTGTTATCAGGATAAGGACTTCAACAGATCTTTTTGGGAAGACACAATTCAACCCATAGAATGGTGGCAGTGTACGCGAGTGTGAAGTGCCCTGTTTACTCAGTGTTTGTTACAATCACCGCTCAGAGGAGGCCTGCTCCTGAAGGTCTCCCTTTGTTTCCTGGGCTGTGTTCTCAGAAATGGACCATGTGTGGCGGTGGTGGGAGTAAGTAGGAAGATATATTTCCCCATTCATTTAAAACAGGGTCTAGGTTGAATGCCCCCCACCCCAGGTTAGAAAAGGAGTGACTCAGATGGAGTAGGAGGAAGGACGTCTGGAATTGATGACTCTAGGGCAGTGGTTCTCAACCTTCCTAATGCCGCAACCCTTTAATACAGTTCCTCATGTTGTGGTGACCCCCAACCATAAAATTATTTTCATTGCTACTTCATAACTGTAATTTTGCTACTGTTATGAATCGCCATCGGAAATATGTGTTTTCCGATGGTCTTTGGTGACTCCTGTGAAAGGGTTGTTTGACCCCCAAAGGGATCACGACCCACAGGTTGAGAACCACCGCTCTAGGGTGTTAGAGAGCAGACATGCCACATGCTGGGCTTGGGAGAGGTGCTGGTTCTTCTTCTCTACAATCATGAGTGTTCCTCCCCTGTTCACCTGTGTGCTACGGGCGGTCCTGGACAGTCATGGAGGCAAAGAAGGGTTGTAGAATGATCTAATAGATAATTGTGATGGATTCGATTAGCCTTTCTATCAAGTGCCAGCTATCACTGCAGTGGCTCATTATTTTACTGATCTGATCTAATTAGCCTTCCCTTTGGCCCAGTGTGGAAATTTTGAGGGGAAGACAGGAGGAATGCATTTTTAATAATGGCAAAAGGAAGTGGCTTTCGTAGCAATGCCTCAGGCTCTGACTATTTTCAGGATGACAAATCCTGGCTCTTTGGAGGTTGATTTAATTTTTGGAACTGCTCAAATGTCAGTGGGAGCCCTGTGTGAAGAATAAGGAGGCAGACCAGAACCAAGTGGCATTTGGACCAGAAGGAGGCCCAGCACATGTGGCTGTGGCTCAGTGCGACTAAAAGAGCTTGTTAGGGGCAGTGTCCTGAAAGTAGACTCTGACCGGCTCAGGGTCTGGGCTCCCTCTCGCCCTCAGGGCCCACCCCACAGAGTGCAGGCACACGACAACTTGCATGCTTTTAGTTTAATTGCTCTGGGCTGCACATATGTTTAAGGTGTTAAGTTCCCAAATCCTATTCTGTTCATCTTCTCAAAACCCAAAAATTTCTGAGATCCAATTTGTCCTTCAGTCTTTGTGCGAAGTCAGTTCCACCTGAAAGAAAGTGGAGATGAGAATGAGGCTGGAAAGTCCCCAGGCACCATCCACCCCTTCCATTCTCCTCACCGCCATCTCCTTCTTTTCAACCTCACTGCACCCCTGGGGGTCTGACACAGATGTCAGAGGGAGGGAGGTTAGATTCCCCAGAGGCCAAGGAGTGAGCCCTCTCCCCCAACCTGGGCAGGAGTGGGAGGAAGAGAAACGAGCAGGCTTTGCAGTGGGAAGGTTGGAGGTAGGACCCTAGGTGTTGAACAGCCACGCGTTTTGAACGTGGATGAGAAATTGGAGCCATTTGAAGGCACAAAATGAAAGAAGCTCCCATGGGGAGGGGCTGAGGCTGTTCCAGGTCTCCTGTATGGGGTAGTAGTGGGGGCATGGTCTTTCCCACCTCTCCTCCACGGATGGTAGGTGGTGAATATTCCTATCCCCACAAGGTTTTGCCTTGGGAAGCACTCACCTTCTACTAGCTGTTTTCCATCTTGAATTCTTTCTCTCACTCTTTTTTCTACTCCTTCAAAGGCCTTTCCTGCTATCGAGAGACCTTTCTCTATCGCGGATTCTAATTTTAGAGCAGAAGAATCACATCAGCAGAAAAGCCACCTCATTTAAAGAGACCTCTTTCCTTCCCCCCATTATCCCTGTACAAATTCCTAAAGGGGAGAAGTTTTGCTGAGGGGCCCAGCTTCTCTCTCGAAGGAAAGTGGGTGGCCAGGAAAGAAACCATGTACAGAGCAGGCAGCAAAATCTACTATCGCAGAGACTCCACGTGTGAGTGCAGTTTCACCCCATTCGTGCCTTGTGTTCAGGTGAATGAATGAATGTCCGCTTCTTCTGGGCTTGTCTTTGTGGGTAGAAGCATCATGCAGACCTGCTTCCAGAGGCTTCTCTGGGTTGTTATCTAGTATAGAGACAGACTTACTCAGGGGATTTAGTCCTTGCTTCCATAAGGCAGGCCTGGCTGGCTCCTGAGCTGCTGTCGAAATCTTCTGGGCTGCTGTGGTTGTTTCTTGGAGTAAAGCAGATTTCGCTGAAGCTGTGATCTTAAGTTCGGCTACAAATATACCGATTTATTGCTTTTAGCAAAGTCAAGTGTTTTTTTTCCCCCTGAGGAATAGTTGGCAGGGCCTCAGATACCTGATATGTACTGGGTGCCAGGATACAGAGTGATATGGCATAAACCCCCCCTTTTAAGGGAGATAGGATTTCTACACACTATGTGCCCATTATGGACCATTTATGTCCCCCCAAATTTATATATTGAAGGGTATCGGGAGGTGGGGCCTTGGGGAGGTTTAGGCCATGAGGTGAGGCCTCCTGAGTGAGATGAGTGTCCTTGTAGAAGGGACCACAGCAAGCTCTCTTCCCTTCTTTTTGCTCTATGTGAGGATACAATGAAAAGTTGGCAGTCCTCAACCTGGACGAGGGTCCTCACCAGAACCTGACCATGCTGGCACCCTGATCTCAGACTTGTAGCCTCCAGAACCGTGAGAAATGCCTTTCTGTTGTGTAAGCCAGTCTACGGTTATTTATTTAGCAGCCCGAATGGACTAAGACAACCTCTTGGAAGATAGACAGGTTCGGGCACTTATCATGGTCAGAGTTGGGGAGGAATTGGGGCAGGGGCATGGGGGCAATCAGGGAGCATGCCAGAGAGAAGCTGAGTCTTAAAGGCACGATTGTGGCAGGGAGGATGTGCTAAAGGGGCTCCCCTGGGGATAGAAGTGAGTCAGCAAGAGCTCCAGGGAAGGCATGTGTGGGGCAGGTGGGCGAAATGCAGAGAAGTTCAATTTAGCAGATGTGGGTGGTACATGAAGGAGAGGCAGGGAAACGTGGGTTGGAAATGGGGTCTGAGGCCAGCTAGCGGGCACCTTGCAAAGGAGCTGGGGGTCCTGAGAGCTGTTTGCGGGTAACGGTATGAATATTGCGTGGGACGTTGCCTTTATTAATTAACCTAATCTTTTTTTCTCTTTTATTCACAACAAGTCTTCTCCCCATTCTCCCCACTAACCTTGCCTGTATGGTTTCCCCTGCTTCTTCCTTACACTTGTCCCACCCCAACCCATGCTCCTCCATTACCACCATGGGCAGGACTGAATCCTCTCCCCCGAACTCCTTCCCCAGCTGTTCCACTTCCCCCCAGGGCCAGGACCAGAGGGAGAGAGGGACTCACAGCTCGGAGGGTCCTCAGCAGCTTGTGTGTGATCAGCGGTGGTATTTTCTGCAACCGAGAAGAGAGAGGACAGTAAATACTAAACCTGATCCACGCCAGAGCCACCCTTTCTGCCATTCCCAATTCTGAGCTCTCCAGAATGTTTGTGGACACACGGGGACACAATTCCCTGCTGGCTGAACATGTCCTTCTGCCACACCAAGGTCCATCAGAGCATTCTTTCTGATGTTTAACTCCTACCGCAGTTTTTCGAAGCAGGTTCTCCTCAGAAAAGTGGACTATTCCTCAGAAAACTGCCCTCCTCCCGGCCTGCCTCTGGCATGTGAGGGTGCCCTAAGATCATGCTGGGGAGCTGTTGTGGCCCATGGAGGTGGAGGGTGGCCGTGCAGGGCCACTGGGCCATGTCCCAGGGATTTATGGGAGTGGGCTCCAGATCTAATTCCTCTTGTTCTTTCAACACAGCGTTTATGCAAAGTTCTATGCTAAGTAAGGGGGCTCAGTGATAAAGAAGGTAGGCAAGACCCCACCCTGACAGAGCCAACATGCTGTTGTGTAATTATTTAGTTCCCGATGTGATGCTACAATAAGGGCAAATGAAGTCTAATGGATCCTTCACGCATTTTTTTTGAGGAAGACTTTCTTGAAGAATTCATACCCAAAGTGAGTTTTCACAGATGAGAAAGTATTGGTCAGGTGACATTCAGAGTCAGCTGGGGGAAGGGGACAGGGGAGGTAAAGCATCCCAGGCAGAAGGAAGAGCAAGAAGGAAGGTCCCAAAGTTTGAGAAATGGCAGGGTTGTCCTGGCCCAAATAGTGCTTTAGTGTAATTGGAAAAGGCATCCTGAGAGACAGCCATGAACAGGGAAGGCTGCTTGGCAAATGGAACATGGGCTAGACTCCAGCCCCCACCACCACCTGCCTGGTACCCTTGTACAGGGGACAACCTGCCCAGCTATATGCAGTGGCCCAGAGGCCCTGCCAGAAGGCCAGTGTGACCATCATAGTGGTAAAGGAAGATGTGTAAGGAGATGAGCCAGGGAGTGGGCAGGGCCAGGGGTTGCTGGCTCCCAGAGCAGAGGGATAAAGAGGCCATGTGTGGAGAATTGGGGGCAGGATTCACTTGCAGAGGGAGGAGGAGCCAGCACAGCACAGAGAGAAAGAAAAGAATAAAGACAGAAGCTAAGGCTTCCCTAGACTGTGAGGGCTGTGGTGGGTGCAGGGGGAGGGCTATACTCACGGGCACAGACCAGGGCCCCAGCCAGAGCTGCCAGAGGGAGGAGAGCTGTGAATCTCATGCTTGGGGATCAGGAGTCAGTATAACCCGCAGAATCCTCAGAGGGTCCCTGTGCTGGGACTGTTGGGCCCTTTTAAGGATACCAAGGGCCAATGGGAAACAAGCTTGGAGGGGTGTGACTTCCTCCTCCTCCTCCCTTTCTTTCACAGATTGTCACATGCTAAATCAACCAGGGTGATACCTGGCATCCTTGCAGGAAGTTCCTTTCTCTACTTACTTTCAGCCCTTCTCCACCCCACCTGCCCTCTGGGTTCACATCTATGAAATCTCAGGGACCAGAGGCAGAGCAGGCTTGGTTTGGGAGACTCTAAAACGTATCTCTTGAGGGTTCTGGTAGGACTCAGTCCTGAGATCTCTCCAGGAGGAGGTTGGGGAATTGGGAGATCACATTGCCCACCTCTTGCCTAGATCTCCATAGGACTCAGTGCGGGGGCTTGCAGGTTTCTCCAGGCTAAGTGAGTCCCGTTACCTGGGAGGCCACATTCAGAAAATTTGGGGACTGAGCTCATGGCTCCTCCTCTTGAGGAGATGGCTTTGAAAGTACATATGCCTTCTCTAGAGTTGTCCTCTATTCTTGAACTTATTTACCTTCCCCATAGGAGGAACTCCCCAAGCCTCCCATGGGCCCCAGTTACCTCCACGTTCAGGCCCAACCAATGGGCTCTCACATTTCTGAGAAGATCTCCAGGTTAAAGGAAGATGGTAGTTCACTGAAGTTGGAACTTGGCTCTGCCTTCAAGTGGGGAGCTAACCCACGGTTCAGAAAAGCAGATAATTCTCTTTGACTTGGGAATTCTTCCTTCCCTGAGCTGGGAATCAAGAGGCCTGGATTTTGAGTTCTGGCTTTGTCATATGCATAAGACAGTGTACTGTCATATCCTGAAAAACTTGAGGATTTTCATTCGTCATCTAGGAGTCACAGCGCCTATGTTCAGCAGAGTGGTGAGATAACATGACAAAGCATTTTATAGACAATACATTTCTATGGAGATGTGTGGGATTCTTCATCTTTGAGAGGGTTCACCTTTCTGGGTAGATTTGATTCAGGCTGGTGCTAAATGCTAAATCGAATGGGGCTGAGGAGAAACAGGAGCCAGTTGAGGAGCTGATGGATGGAGAATAGGGTACTGGGTACCAATTTGTGATTCTCCATTTGCTGGGTGTTTGTTCTCACCAGGCCCCAGGTGGTCCTGCAGGCTTCTGTGCCTCACAGCTGCTCTGAAGATCAGTGTGGAAAAGGGGGTCCTGGGAAGTTTTTGACATGAGGGTGTTTTGGGTGCCTGGGTTCGGAGCATTAATCTCCTCAGGAGATAAAGGGGTGGGACATTACAGGCATGAGGAGTGAGTTCTTTCAGGCCATTTCACCCATCCTCAACCTCCAGGTAAGATGACTGTCACATTCAGGCAGCTGATCTGCTCAAGACATGGGGTGTGGGACCTGAGTTAAACAATTGCTCCCCTCCAACACCCTGTGTGGTTGATACTTGAGATTTATCTGGCGGACAGTAGGCAAAGAAGAGGAATGCATTGAATTAACACAGGGACAGGACTTGGCAATCGACTGCCCACCGGAGGAGCCTTGAAGGTGATGGAGAGGGCTGAGGGACAGGAGAAAGTTTTCACTGCATGAGTGCCCTGGGGTGTGTGTGCATGTGTGTGTGTGTGCATGTGTGTGTGTGTGTGTGTGTCTATGTGTACACTATACAAAAAGAAGCTCTGACTCTAGATCCCGGCCTCCCTGAACACATTAAAAAAGCCAACAGAAGTGAACTATGATATTACGCAAGTTTTTTCTAAGAGTAAATTAGAACTTTGGCATCAACATTAGAGCTGTCACAGAGCAAGTTCTTTCCAAATGTCACTGCTCATTCTCTTTCCTCTCCCAGTCCTCCTCTTTGCCCCAGGACTTAAGAAGGAAGGTATTGACATAAATGGGGGTGAGGTGGAAGGTAGGGACACTTGTTGTATAGAAAAATTTCATAACTTTATAGCAGGACCAGGTCCAATGTTGCCCCAAGTCATAGGGCCTGGGAAAGAATTGAATGAGTATATTAAAGAAAAGAGATACACTCAATGTATCTGGGTGAGGAACTGTCCTCTGTGATGTCTTGTCTTCTGGGGTATCTGACCTCCATGATGACTGTCAGTTTGCCCATCTGTGTCTTTTCTCGTGTCTTTTCCTGGTACGCGTGTCCTTGAGTAATCCTCACTGTGTAAGCTTGGGCTGGTAATTCTCTGTCCAAACTATTTCCCTTCCCTTCCTGCTTCAGACCTATTTTCTGCCCATCTCTCCCCTGGTCTGGAAGGATAACCTTTGTGGGCTGTGTCACCTGGGCGTCCTTGCCCTTTAGCTTCTGGTTGAGCTTGGCCAATGGCAGACACTGGTGGGCGATCAGAGGATGGGAAGAGAGATCGGTCAAGACCTTGCTCCTCCTGCTTGCTCCCTGCTTTGACATGTGTGGTAGGTGGACTTCTAACATGGCTCCCGAAGATCCCACTTCCTGGTACACGTGCCCTTGAGTAATCCTCACTGTGTAAGCTTGGGCTGGACCTAGTGATTTGCTTCTAACAAATAGAAAATGGCAAAAGTGATGGGATGTCTGTCACATTTTAGATTAGGTTATGAAAGACTATGACTGTTGCATGGACCTGGAGAGTATTATGCTAAGTGAAATAAGCCAGTCAGAGAAAGACAAGTATCATATGATTTCACTTATATGTGCAATCTAATGGACAAAATAAAGAAACAGACAAATTAGAAACAGACTCAGACACAGAGAACAGACAGCTGTCAGGGAGAGGGGGCCTGGAGGCTAGGTGAAAATGGTAAAGGGATTAAGCAAAAAACAAACAGGCCAGCCAGTGTGGCTCAGTGGATTGAGCATCACCCCATGGACTGAGAGGTCTGGGTTAGTTCCCAGTCAGGGTTCATGCCTGGGTTGTGGGCTCAATCCTAAGTAGTATGCGCAGGAGGCAGCTGATCGATGTTTCTCTCTCACATCAGTGTTTCTCTCTCTCCCTTCCATTCTTTCTAAAGAATCAATAAAAACATATTTAACAAAACAAAACAAACAAACAAACAAACTCATAAACACAGACAATAGTATGGTGATTACCAGAGGGATAAGGGGGTGGTGGCAGGTAGAAGAGGGTAAAGGGTGGAAAAAAGGAAGGAGACTTGGCTTTGATGGTGAACACAATTTACAATATACAAATGATGTATTATAGAATTGTACACTTGAAACCTATATAATTTTATCAACCAATGTCACCCCAATGAATTCAATAAACATTTTAAAAAAAGGACTATGACTGTTGTCTTGCTTATTCTGTCTGTCTGTCTGTCTCTCTCTGCTTGTTCTCTCTCTCTGGATCTTCTCAGCTTGCTTGCCCCAATGAAGTGAGTTGCCATGGTGTGAACTGCCTTATGGAGAGGTGTGAACTACCCTGTGGAGAGGCCCACATGACAAGAAACAGATGGCAGCCCTAGCCTGCAGCCAGGGAGGAATGGAGGACCTCATTCCAGCAGTCTTTGAGGAACTGAATCCTGCCAACAATCACATGATTGAGCTCGGAAGTGAATTCGTTAGTAGCCTTGGTGATAACTTCATTGCAGTCTTGTCAGAGACTGAGTGGAGGACCCAGCTAAGCTGCACGTGAACTCCCGGCCCACAGCAACTGTGAGATAAGAAATGATGCTATTTGAAGCCACTGGGTTTGGGAATAGTTGGTTATTCCACAAGTATTTAACACCACATGGTGTGGCAATGGTGGTGTTCCTCTATGACTGCTGCTTCTAGCTAGTGGCCCTGGCTTCATAGCCCCTTCTCCTAACTGGTCTCAGGGAAAACCATTTCCTTCCCATGCAGCTTCAGTTTTAGAAATGGTAATGGCTTCCTGCTATTGATAGTCCTTTCTTGAACCTCTGAAAATATCTCTATCTCCATCTCCATCTTCATCTCTATATCTAAAATATTTTTTTACATTAAAGAATCTCTTTAAGCCCGGCCGGTGTGGCTCAGTGGTTGAGTGTCAACCCATGCACCAAGAGGTTGCTGGTTTGATTCCTGGTCAGGGCTCATGCCCAGGTTGTGAGCCCAATCCCCAGTGTGAGGTGTGCAGGAGGCGGCTGATTGATGTTCTCTTTCATTGATGTTTCTCTCTCTCTCTCTAAAATCAAAAAGAAAAACTATTTAAAAAAAAAAAAAGAATCGGTCTTGGCCAGTTTGGCTCAGTGGTTGGAGTGTTGGCCTGCGGACCAGAGAGTCTCAGGTTCAGTTCCCGCTAGGGGCATGTACCAAAAAAAAAAAGAAAAGAACTGTTTCCTGGTGTCTCGGACTTTTGGGGGCCTGTTCCCAGAGGCATGTGGAAGGCCCCTGTGGACTCTGGAAGACATGTGCAGTGTATTCAGCGATGTCAAGGAATGGAGGAGTTAAACAAATGTGAACAGTGGGTGGCATACACCCTCCAGGGCACGAGGCCCACATGAAGAGCAGTACAATCAGAACAGCCTGGGAGTCAAGACCGCAAGCTGACTGACTCTGCTGGCTCTAAGAACACTTCATGAATAAATGTGTGAGAATCTCATTCAGCCAACATCTAGTGAAGACCTACTATGTATCAGAAAATTTGGTGCCTTCACATGGATTGTCTCATTTAAACCTCACCGGAAATCTTGGAAGTAAGAGTTTTACTTCTCTCACCTCACCGAACAGGAAAAAAACCAACAAAAAACGAAGTCTCAGGGAGGACTGATCACTGCCCTGGGTCACGCAGCTAGAACATGACCAGGCCAAGATTCAAATTCATTTTTTCATTCTCAGTCCAAGTTCTCCATTCTTTCTCTCCTTTCACTGGTATTCCCATTTCACCAGTCATTTAAGAGAGGCAGCCACAGCCCTTACAAGAAGGGACACCGGAGAATTGACCTGCTCACTCTCCTTCCCTGTGTACACACAGAGAACAGAGTGGCTGTCCATAGGTCAGGAAGAGGGCTCTCCCCAGAACCTGACCA